TCTTAATTGCTGAATCGTTAAATGAGATCCAATCTATTCTATGTCATACGGTATCTTTTTCCTCTATTTTGATATAATTCCTATGCTTGTATATTAATTTTATTTCTCTCAGTAAAGTTTTAAAGGAAAAAGTAACTCCTGGAGCAAATAATGACAATTTTTAGTTGGATAAATAATGACAATGTCAAAAAACTTTTTTAATATTTAAATATGATTTTTCTAATTTATTTGAGATAATATGAGATTAGTTACAAGGCAAGATCCAGAATAAATGTGATTTTCAATAAGAAATACTAGCATATAATGTTACTAGTATTATTTATCAATAAATAAAAATTTACATGTGGCAGAGTATAGAAATTAATATAAATTACCTTATTTAATCAAAATGTCAAAAGAATCGATTAAGAGTTAAGAATTATGTATTTTGTAATTGTCCCATAGAGAGTGTCACTATATTTACCCATAGGGTGAGGCAAATAGTGACAAATGCAGGTTTCAGTTTTTATAAAAATCCGTATACATGACTTATGGAAACTCTAATTAAGTTTCTTGTACATTTGAAAATGGAAAGTGCTCTTTTTAGTGAAAAATCCGTATCTCGTAAACTTGAAATTAGCTTGTAAGGGAGAGAGGAAAAAATCTGTCACCATTTGCCCCCCCTTCCCTTACATATATTATTTAAGTCACTTAAATCCATATATTATATGTTTATAATAGGCTAATCGATATGCGATATTTTTAGTTTGATCGGGTACTTTGAACAATACATGGAATACGATCCCTTTTTCACCCAGCCCGAGCTGACGAATCCATGGATATCCGATAGTCCGGAAATGTGGGAGCAGGAGAAATTAGCGTAAGTATATTGTCATAGCGAGAAGAAAAAAATTTCTTGCATATCTGCGGCGAATTTAATATCTATCTAGACATTAAACGTCATGAATCAGTATGTGTGCATTGCATATTTATATATTTACGAATATATATAGGAAAGAAATAGCCGCGAGAAGAGTAAAGAGGTGGGCGTTCAGTCTTCAAGAACTCCTACAGGATCCCGTTGGTAGAGAACAATTTATACGCTTTTTAGATAAAGAATTTAGCGGCGAGAATCTCAAGTACGTATAAGAATTTTCTCGCGTAAGTTTTTTTTCTGCTTTCTTCCGATAAATATGTTACTATTTTATTTGTATATTTATGTTATACATATTATATACTCTATCTATACACACGTAATACGATATTGAATTTGCATCAGGGAGACGAGATCATTTATGATATGTGCAGATTTTGGGAAACCGTTCAGGAATTGAAAACTTTACCGCAGAAAGACGTCCAGATGAAAGTCGAAGAGATATGGCATGAATTTTTGGACACGGACGCCAGTTGTCCCATCAACGTCGATTCTCGGTCCTACGAGGTTACCAAAAGAAATCTTGAAAAGCCAGACCGATGGTGTTTCGATGTTGCTGCGGTATGAATTTTATTTAATTATTAATCATTGTCATATAAAAAAAAATGAGAGGGAAACCAATTTAAGAAATAAAATTTAGAAAAAATCATTAAACTTTTATTTATCTTTTTTTTTTATCAAAGATGAAAAATTGAAAATTATTTGAAACATCGTTCAAATGAGTATTATACGATCGGTACGCGATTTAAAGTGTTACAAGCTATTATCTCTGAAAATTTGCATTGTAGTCAAAAATATTTCAAACAAAAAGTTGTACGGTTTGAAGAGGAAATAAATAATAATAAATTCAATTTTCGAAAAAATCGATTTTTCAAATTTATTAACACAAAGATGAATGTCGCTGCCATTTTTTTTTATAAAATTATATATAATTTTTCAAGTTATTCTGATTTCAAAATATTAAGATGTAAGAAAATCAATGGTTTACGAAATATATTTTATATTTAATTGTTCTGGCATATTTTGATATTGTATATATTACCATCAATTAATCCATAATCATTAAAACGCGATTTCATTATATATAGTTAAAACTAGTTTTAAATTTAATTGAAACGAGGTCTACAATTATACTCTGTTTCACATAGGTTTTCAATTTTCCGCATAGCAAGGTCTCTCCTCCCCCCTGTTTACGAAGCGAAACGAGGTCTATAATTGTTCACATAGGTTTTCGATTTTACATCTAATTAGCCGTTCTAGTTTTAACTAGTGAATTCGGGTTTTAATGAATTATGAGTTTTAACGGTAACATGTATATAATATAAAATACAGAGTGTCCCGAAATTCGCGAATCAAAATATCATAGCGAGAAATTCCTTAAAAAATAAAGTAAAAAAGTTATTTGTAAATTTTTAATTTGAGCAGTAGTTTTTGAGAAATGAGACTTTAAATTTAGCCAGTTTAATACGATTAAAGTAAATTACGATTAAACGGAAACATGTCCGTGAACGCGTCGATAGTGTTAGTGGTCGCGCACTTCACGCGAATACTAATATCTATAATCGGCTAAATTTAAACCCAATTATATCTCAAATATTGCTTAAAATAAAAATTTACAAATAACTTTTTTATTTAATTTTTCGAAGACTTTTTTGTTGTGATATTTTCATTCGCGAATTTCGGGACACCCTGTATATCTTAACTATTGATTTTTTATTATTGTACGTGAATATTTTTATGCATAGAATAATGAGATAAATCAATTGGTAAATAAAAGAATACATAATTGCTTTTCAAAAAAGATGCAGTGTAGTGATATAACTTGTAACACTTTAAATACTCCACCCTGTATATGACGTTTAAATTTTCTATTTTATATATAATATATATATATAATTTTCTAATTGTTGTTATTATTATTTTCTAGGCGCATGTGTATCATTTAATGAAAAGTGATAGTTACTCGAGATATTTACGCTCGGAAATGTACAAGGATTTCCTTAACGGATCCAAGAAAAAGGTAATTTTCTTTCTTCGTCATAAGATTGTTGCGACAATTTGAGATGTGTACGCGTCACATTCGAGTCACACGATTAACTTTCTTGTTTCTGATATTTCAGACTTCTGTAAAAGGCATTCGCTCTATCGTTTCCTTCACAGGACGAAGAGACACAACAACTTCGTAACCTGCCACTTTTTAGCACTTGTTATAATCTTACATCTCTTCTTGTCATATATTTCCGCTTTTTCTGACTTCCGTCGAAAAAAATTGCACAAAACTGTCAACAACAGAAGTTTTAAGTTTTAAAAAAGATGTTTTTCTATTCAATTTTATCTTACATTACCGATACGTCTCTGTAATTAAACATTTGATATCGGTAATTTATACATATATAATGATAAAACTATAAGATTGCTTAAAATCTTATCAAGGAATCGTACGTTTTTCAAATTTCCATTATAATATAAGATCTCGATCGCAAATCAATTCTTGCATTCGTTCCAATATTTCACATTTATTATTTATGACAAGAAAAAAAAAACAATTCTAATTAGAATCTCTTATCACATCTTATCATAAATTTGAAATTGCACGCATTTTTCCATCGTTTTCAAAGCATTGTTGTCTAAACATTTAACATTCAGAATTCAAAAATTTAGAAAAAGATAACGCGCTGTCAAAATTTTTATTGATGCAGAAAATCGGTCATTTCGAATTTCAAAAATTTAGCCAATGAAAATATATCGGAATATCGTATTTTCGTCACGTATCCGCATAGATACACGCTTATTTTGTTTAGGAAACATATTTAATACTACGGCATATATACTTTTGGATAAATCTAACAAGTAGAAATAATGCGTGTAAATAACGCGTTTTCTTAATCTGCGAAATGCATTTAGATATATCAAATTAATTATAATAGCGAACTGAAAAATTAGGGGAATGTTAGAATAATACGAATTGTATGACACGCGTAAATTAATTGTACAAGCGATCCAGTCGAGAGAGAACTATTGTATCTTCAACAAATGAAGCAAGAGAATTGAGCAAAAGACACGCACAGATATGTACAGAAATATATTTTGCATATAGCTTTACGCATCGCAAATAATCTCAACATTGCCCAAATTTTAAAGATTATGATGTCATTCAGTATATCCTTCTTTTTCGTTCGTATTCGCATTCGATATACACCAAAACTTGTGTCAGAAAAAAAATTGCAAAACTAAGTTAAAAACTTAAAGCTACAATAAAATCAAATAAAAAAGACGTACTTATTTATTTAATTCAAAATATTTTCTTCTTCTATCTATTGCCGGCATCCTCCATATTGTTTATTAAAACAATAAAAGAAAATCTTTTCTTCAGTTATTTTCAGTTAATTCATCGTTTCAATTTAGATTACGCAAATAAAAAGAATTTATATATAAAAAAGAGAGAAGAAAAGAGAATGTTGATTGAAGTACATAAAAGAAATATTCAGAAATCACTAATTAAAACTCTATATGATTTATGTTAATAAATCGGTCCTCATGATTTAACTACGTACTTACATTGTCATTATATATTTTCAACTATTTAACATTTAGTATAATCAAATATTCTTTGCCATTATATAATTTAACTAAATGTCTCTTAAGGGGGAGCCTGGTTTAGCACGCTGAAAAATTAGGTAATTTTTGGAATTTTTTTTTAGGAAACTATACAACCAATCCTTTAAACTTTATAAGGTAATTTCTTATACTATTGAACAAAAAAATTTTTTTTGCTAGAAAAAAAGTATTTTTTATGCAAGTAATAATAACTTTTTATTCGGCGCATCGACGGACGGCGTCAATGTAGCGTCGCTTGTATTTGCTGAAATAAAAAATCCAAAAAGACTGTTTATTAAAAGTTTATGCATCAACTGAACCTATTTTTAAAGAAAATAATGCAAAATTGTGAAAATCGCAACACTTGGAAAAAAGATAGCGATTTTGGCAAAAAACTTTTTGTGTTTATTATGCAATAAAAATTATTTAATTGAATAATATTATTATTAACTGTGGTTCAAGTTGTTAGGGAAGTATTTGTGCAGATGTGTGTAAAATCCTAAATCAATCGGATGAATAGTTTTTGAGTTATCTTGCACGCCGCCAAATCACCACCGAATAAATGTTATTATTACTTGCATAATAAATACTTTTTTTCTGGCAAAAAAATATTTTTTTGTTAGTTCAATAGTATAAGAAATTGCCCTATAAAATTCAAAAGGATTGGTTGAATAGTCTCCTAAAAAAAAATCCAAAAAGTCACCTCATTTTTGCAGCGTGCTAAACCAGGTTGAACCCTTAACGAAATGTGATTCGAGCTACTAGAAACTTTCCTGATCACTTTGGCACAAAGTCTAACGGAACTTCTGTACGTATAAATTCTTATCATCTTCTAACGTTTTTAGGTATATTTTTATTCGTAAGATAAGTTTTAGATATATATTTCTCAATAATATTATTTTGTTACTGGCAGTAAAAATTATTTTTAATAATAAAAACTTATATTAATAGGCTACGAATCATTTTTCAATTTGATGTGTGCACGTTTCAGAAAGGCTCGTAGAAACAATATATAGAAACCAGATGATATTCAGTAAACACTATATACAAAAATATTGAATACCGCACTCTTGCAGAAATATTCCACAAAATGTTTATTTTTCGAAATGGTATAAAATTTTTTTTATTACTAACATACATAATATTGTCGGTATTTTGTCAATGAATATTTCACGCGCGAATATTCCTTTCATCTTAAACAATCTCACCCACATTTCGCAGTACAAAGTACAAAATTGTTCATCAGTCTCCAATGAGAGCTATTCAGTTTATACAAGCCTTCGTCTCGCATGACATGATGATCATTTATGTATAGCAATTAAATGGCACGAATCGCGTGTGAGAAATATTTTGTCATGATAATTTAACGGTCGTGCTGGACGCAAAGCTCGATATTTCGCGTGTGTAGCATTAAAAAATGTTTACGAGCTTTCCCCCAAAAATTCTCTTCTTATTGTTAAGAGGATCCTAAACCCTAGATCAAACTCCAAAAATCCGCTGTTTTACCGACAATTTGTGAGTATGTATGCGTGCGATATTGATGTAGTAGTGTGTAGTGATGTGTCATGTTTACATCAATATATCTCACGCATACATATACACGAATTTGTAGGATACAAATGTATTTTTATTTAGGCTTCTAAATTTGATTTTAACGACTCACCTATATTCATTTCTTTATT